GAATTCCTCTTCTACTGGAGCTGGGGCTGAATGAGCAGGCCTCAGATACCTCAGATAACCCAGAGAATAGAATACAGCTATGTCCTACTGTTTGGTGCTGCTTTGCCTACATTCTTCATAGTCAGCCACTTTACCCTTTGACTGAAGGCTGATTTGAATTATTCACCATATTCCCAATCTTTTATTGCATCCAGGGTGAATGAGATTGATCCCATGCAAAAAGCGAACCACTCGATACGTGACACTGTCAGGAATGACATGGGGAGTTGGCCCTTCGTTAAGCCTAATTCGAGCTAACACAGCAGAACATTCGGTCAGGTATCCTCTAGGGACACCCCAGCTGGAGTTCATTAGTGGATGAAATTGAGCTGACCACTCTGTCTTCTTCCGGTAAGTGTTCTCTCCACCCACTAGCTGCTCCCCTTGTTGACCATAACAATATCAATAACACACATGAAGGTATTCTGTGTTTTCAGTATTTTGGCATGAGGAATCGTGCCATTCTAATGGATAGGTAGCCTGCAACGGTAATGAGGCAGGTGTCTTGGACACAGTGGTCGGTTGGTACTTGCGCACTCCCTGTGCCCAAAACCTCGGGGAGTAAGCACCCTGTGTATGAAGGACAGACCTGGCACTTAGGCCTGCTGCTTCCATGCTCAGCTGTAATTGGATCTGCTGCATAAACAAAAGCCAAAAGGTTTCTGCTGTGAGAGATATTGATAGTTGGCAGATGCAGAACCAATTGTCAGCATGTTGACTGAACCCTGATCCTGGAATACATTCACGTAGACACTCGGAGCGACTTGAATAATCTCCATCCATCCCTGTCCCTACTGAATGTCGGCATGGCTTAGAAATGAGACTCGGTCGATTGTCAGTTTTCATTTACTTTAACTGGCAGCTGGGTTCCTGGAAATAAGGATGCTTGGTTGCATACCATTGCGTTTCTTTGCTTCGTCATGTGCTGGGACAAAGCCATTATATGCTTGGTCTTCAGCTGTTTGTTTGGCTGGTGGACAGTTGGAGCCTTCGTTACCAGACACATCATGTCTTATAGCTCTTGCTGCTGCTCTACTTTCAGTTTAGAGGCTTTATTCTTTATTCTTATGTGCCCCTGATGTCAACTTTTAAAAAATGCAATCAACCATGGTTCATTTTTATGTTATTAAGACACATTCCAGCTGACATGGTACATTTCAGATTATATGGTTAGCTAAGAAAACTAAGCTTAGTCTTATCTTCTGTAACCTTTGAAGAATTGTTAACAGACACTTTTTGCAGACACTGCTGCACATGAGGGAGGCTTGGACTGTAGTTATCTCTAACCATGGACTGAGCGAGAGATGTTCCCTAATAACGTTTAAACTGGCCATATTATGGAGCTACCAAAAGGCAGTGCAATCACATCTGACAAGCCAACAATGCATCAAAGAGTCTTCCATCTGCCGGAGCACACGGGCAGCCATTGTGGGGCCGCACACTGGAGGAAAGGGCTGCCAGTTCTATCATTTCCGATTTTTTTTTTTCTCTGCTCTATTCTTCCTCACCAGGGAAGAGGGGCCTGAAGAGGTGGAGAGAAGGTAATGGATTTGAGCAAGAGAGCATTACTCCCCCCTCTCTGTTCCCTCACATTCTCCTTCTCCCCACCATCTGATGAGCTATAGATTCCTTTCCTCTTGAGACAGGGAGACATGGATGCACCTGGTTTCTCTAATGCACCGCCAATTTGGTTCACCGTCATCCTGTAGTCTGCAGCTATCAGGAACATTATGTGTCTCATCCACAGTCAGATAATCTTTCAAGAGGGACTTGCAATTTTGTTTCACTAATGCAATGAGGTTTATTTAATGAGCTCATTTGTTAGGTTGCATCCCTGGCTATGCTACACCTGATGCATCAGCCTTTTTAGTACTGCAGATAACACCTTGGTGAATAAAGTACTGCGCTGTGCCTGTGTGTTAGATTGATTGAGTGCAGCAAGCAGCAAAATACTGAGGCCTTTAGTCGACTGCATGAATCACGTCTCGTCTCCCTGATGTGAGCTGAGAAAACCTGTTACCTCTCATTCACTCCATGCCATGTGAGAATATCAAGTCCAGTTCACTCCAGTGGATTTCTCCTTGCGTGGTAACCTGATCACTCCATGGGTCAACAAATAACTGCATATTCAGTGCATGTCCATATCTTACTGTGCACATTATAGGGACTGTAACAACGGACCCGGTGTGATCTTTTCAACAGATTTACCCATTATCGCCAGCAGTTTATGGAATGCTGGCTTGCTAGCTTACCCTCACTTAGTGATGGAGCTGAAGTTAACGAGGCAAGGTGAATAGTATATGTGCAGGGCTGAGCCGCTGTGGACAGCTTGCCTCGCTAATTGGTCTCAGGATATTGAGGCATGCCTCATTGTTTTCAAAATAGCACAACCTTTAACAAGTACTTCCAGATTGCCCCTGACCACTCTTAGCTGAACAGTGAATGCTAATGGCATCTGTATAAGATTTTTTAAGATCTTTTTTTTGTCTCTCAAAGCACTCCCCAGTTAATAAACAAATAGCTCACATTAAATGGCTAAGATGATTCCATTATAATGTCATTTCTTGAGGTGGTGTATTATATTAATTGTTGAGGCATTGTGCTTTTTTGTATATGTTTAGATAAATACCATTTCATTGAAGTACTCCTGACTTTTTTTTCCATTTTCTCTCAGAATAAGACACTGAAGCTGTTTCCGTCTTTGTGAAATGCAAATCTATTGGATCTCAGCATTTGCAAGATAAAGGTTTACAGACTGTTTAAATTGCTGCAGCTTGAAGTGATTCCAGGATTTTCAGCAAGCTTCTCAATTGACACCCAACTCCCTCATGAAGCTGAGTTATGTTTTATTGTGGGACCCAATATATATATGTGTGTGTGTGTGTGTGTGTGTATGTGTGTGTGTGTGTGTGTGTATGTGTGTGTGTGTGTGTGTATATATATATATATATATATATATATATATATATATATATATATATATATATATATATATATATATATATTTTCTTTTCTTCTTTCTTCCTTCTTTCATCTCTATACTGACTGCCAACCCACAAGGACAGTGATGTGGGTGTGAGATGGGACAATTGGGGTGGTGGGGGTATTGGAAGAGCATGAATGGGGCTGAAACTGTTCACTGTACACTGCAGAAGCCTCTCTCAATGATTACCCTCCATTACCAAAGCCAAATGTATACTACAGAGCAGAGCAGATTGCCTCTTTTTCTGGAGTAGGAGTGAAACAGAGAGAGACAAAAAAAAACAAACAAATAAACTATGTGCCCTGTTAGTTGAGGAGCTAGGACCCTGGACCTTCTTAGCCATGCAGTCTGCTCCTCTCCCAGATTTAAAAGGTCAAAGATTCATAACTGCCTGCGGACGCTCTTGAATATTAATGTTAGCTGAGGGTTGGAACGTATCAATAGGTGAGGGGTTATCTGCTGGAAACATAAAGCTAAACCTAACGCGATTAGGAATGAGCATTATGCTAGGTGTTGTCAATAAGCATACATGTCTTAGTGCTGTTAGGTTAGTGCTGCAGCCGAGGTGAGAGAGAACCGGGTGCTGTGGGAAACAGAGAGACAGGTGAACAGATGCTTTAATGTAATCATGCCTAATGGTCTGAGAATGGTGTGTGATTATGTTGCACATCCAGTGCAGCTATTTTAACCATTTACAACTAAATAGGGCTGTGAATTCAGCTTTTCTCTTTGGAGTGCCCTTTACATGCTATAAAGACAAGCAGCCTTACCTTCCAGACGTTATTCATGATTAATCTATTTTGTTCAACAGCTGACAGTGAGCAGGGACAGCTAACGACATAAAGCATACATCAGCCTAGATAACACATTTTGAGCCACTTTGATGCCAGTTCTGGCCTTCAGATGAACACCTACTGAATGTTTTAAGGTGAAATCGTAAATGTCATGAATCTCTAACTGAATGAAGAAAGCATGACTATTGCCATTGCAGCTCATTCTTGCTTTGTCCATTTAACTTAAAGGTTGGTTCAAAGGTTTTCTGAGGCAACTGCAGAGGCAAAACACTCTTTCTGAGCTATACAGGCTAAAAGACTGCATTACTACTGTCAGCTGACAAGTGTCCACAGATTTTTTTGCCCTGAAGCACAAAATACATTTTTTTTAAATGAGCTTGTGAGCAAGCCTTGAACTTTTTGTTTCCCATAGGTTGGTAATCAATAATAATAGGACACACAAAAAAGGAAATCAATTAATCAATTTCCCTGCAGAAAGCCTAATTTAATCAGGGTATATGTGGCTAATTGATGTTTCTTGAGGCTGCTAATAAGGATCTCTTATGGAGAGTGGAATGCAGTGAGACGTTGCAGTCTTCAAATGTTTTCACTGCTCACCGCATGTAGCTCTATCCACATGCTCACTGTTATACAGCAAATAGATGCTCTACAATTATGGACTTATCCTGTTAAGAGTAAATTCCTGATAAGGAATTGTAGGTTGTAACAGTTATTTCAGTAGCATATTCCTTTCTGTGTGTGTTGCAGTTTTAAACTTAAAAGTCTCACTTGAAATATTATTTAGGAAGCCAGTTAGCATGTTTTATATAGGATATGTGTAGTGTGGCTTAAGGTCTTTTTCTTCAAACATATGAGCCTTCAAGTGATGCTGCTGGTGTGGATTTCCTCTCTTTGAATGATGCATTAAAGTGACCTGATTGTTAACTCCCCCTGTAGAAAATCTTCACCCTGCAATTTGAATGATTATCTGAATACACTGATTATAATTATCTATCTAATCATTTCTGATTCATTGAGAAGGTACATTTTAATTGTTTTGTAATCAAGTAATTGTGGAAGCCTTACATTAATGCATTCTAATTCCAATACGTTCTTCAAAGAATTCTTGCCTTTTGTCATACAAGTGGGTACCTTTTCTGTGGTGTGTCTTGGTTGTTGACTCACTTTTTACGTCTCTCTTCCAGGGTACCAGGCATCACCATTGCCACTGACATTATCTGTGGCTTCCCAGGAGAGACAGATAAGGACTTCCAGGAAACGATGGAGCTGGTGAGAAAGTACCGATTTCCCAGCCTCTTCATCAACCAGTTCTACCCACGACCTGGTACCCCAGCAGCCAAGATGGAGCAGATCCCAGCACAAGTGGTGAGCGTTCAATATACACTGTTCATATACACCTATTATTTCAAAATCAAGAGTATTAATAGGGAGTTTGTCCCTGTTTTGGTGCAGTAACAGCCTCTACTCTTCTGAGAATGCTGTCCACTAAATGTTGGAACTTTGCTGTGAGGATTTGATTGAAGTCAGCCACAAGAGCATTAGTGAGTTAAGGTACTGATGTTGGATGGTTAGTTCTGAATCACAAATGATGCTCCAACTCATTGCTACACAGCCCAAAGCTAGGGCCGCTTGACACGTCTCTAGCTAATGCTTGACATTGGTAACCTTAGGCTCATGTGCAAAGCATCCCATACTATTGGAAGTGCTTTTCAGTGGAGATTATAGAAGATGTGGTTTGCGTGCAATGGCTCTACCATAGGGTAGCAAAATTCACCAATTAAAAGATGACATCACCGTGACTTTCAAACTTGGTCTTGGAGTTGAGTTTGAACTGTTCTTGTCACAAATCATAGCATTCCCTGACCAGATAAAGTTCAGAACAATACTGATTGATTGGGTTGTGTTGCTTTTAAGTAGAACTGCACTTCATCTATTTGCTTCTCTTGGAGTCTGCTGAGCAGATGTAAGTGAAAGGTCAAACCAGGAGTTTCCCCACAGCAAAAATAAGGACAGCCTTCCTTCATCCTTTCTGCTGGCATGCAGTTAATGCAACATGTGGACTGTGCAGTACCAAAATGCAGGCTCCACATCAGCGCTCTGTGACAGGCCTCACTCATCACTAGAGCTTTTGTTTATCTGGGCTTTTTCAATCATTGCATATGGCACATATCACATGGCATCTTAGTCAGTAACTCTTGCTCCAAATGGAGGGTACTGTTGGTGATAGAAATCATGAGAGGTCAGTGGAGAGGGAGTTTGAAGATGTAGGTTCTGACTTTCTTTAACTGCAAGACCTCTACCAGTACATTTTTATAACAGGAGAACTGACATGCTCAGATAGATACTGAGATGAGTCTTCAGGCAGCCTGGTGCCATGGAGGGAAACTGTAGTGATTATGAAGGCAGTGTTGCTATAAATTGCACTTGAGTAGTGACTATTGAATTTCAGCACTAATAGAAAACAGTGTTTTGGGGCTTTCATCTGGATTTTCCTTGCAAAAATCTACTTTTCAAGAGACAGCCAAAAACTAAGCCTGCCGTCAGAATAGGGAGATGTGCTCCAGTTATGTCATGAGACTTCAGCTGCAAATGGCCTTGAACAGTCTTGCTCTATTAGATGGTTCTTTTTTAAGGATTAGTACCTTCAAAGACGTACACTTTTGGATCTTGTCCAACTATGTTATTAAATTTGTGATGATTAATTCTCTTTGCTCTTTCCTTCTCCCCTTCTGCTGTACTTGTCTTCCACTCCCACTTCACCTATTTCAGTTCTCCTCAGTAGCATTTTCTCTCTCTACTTTGGAGTCCCTACTTTACTTTTGTTTTAGTAATTTTTAGTAAACTGCTAAAAATAGAGCAGTTTTCAAGGGCAAACAATTCAAGGTTTTAAACTAACATTAGTCTTAGTGACAAGTCTCATGCATCCTGTCAGGAAGTAATTATACATTTTCCTCTGTTTGACAGTGACCCAGTTATTTGTTTATTCATCATGTGTCATCATGGTAATCTATTCCTGTAAAAATAAGTAAAGGTTTTTCACCATGAGGAAAGGACGTTAGGATGTTTATTTTGCCCACCCTTTATTGCAGCTTTCATTCAAGACTTGCTTTCAGTTGTCCAAAAAATGTGTAGGTTTATTTTTTCATACCTCTAAAAGTTCAGTCTTTCGAGCTTGTTGCATTTTTAGCTTCTCACAATCCAAATAATCCCAAACACATTCAGAGATGTTGATGTTCAGTCCACCTGTACCTATTTTGTTTGTTTTGCAAATTGCCTTCTTTTTGGTCTGTTTCTTTTTCTCAGTAGCAGCGTCTTGACAGCTATACATTCTTTAGATGTTTCTTGAAGCAAGAGAGGAGCGTGATTTTGAAATGATATCTCAAAGAAGAAAGCTTTAAGTACAGTTTAACTGATGCTGACAGTTTTGGTGATTTAGGTCTTGCATGGTTGTTTGGAGTTCCATTTTCTCTCTATCTTTTAATAATTTTTGACTCCAGTTTTGGTAACTCACTTTTTTCCCCACTTATTTTCCTTTTGCTTTACCCTTCCTTATGCAAATGGTTTATTTTATATGTAATTTCCTCAGAAATATCTCCTGTAAAAAGAATAACGTGTGCATAATTGCAGTTTTAACTGGAAATGAAATAAGTGATGGATTGTCTCTGACTTTTGCACTTATGTATATTTGAGTCAGAATCTTGATCTTTTATTTACAGTCAAAAAAAAGATCTGAACTTAGAACCCTAGTGTTAATGATCAGACAAATGGATAAGTGCTTTGAAATCCTTGCAGCAATTACTCTTCATTGTGTAATGTAGCTGTAGACAGGTGTTTCCCAAATGTGACTGAATTATGAAATTTGTTTCAAACTGAAACAATGTGTCTGGCTAATGATGCAAAAAGAATTAGAAATATAGCATGCTTGTGATGTAGAATGTGCAGATTTGCTGCTTGCTCACTTTTCCAAAGCACCTTGAAAATTTAGACATAATCATTGATTTAACGACTTAAGATGTGTTCACTGCCTGAAGACTGATAAAACACAAAGAACATGAATAGGACATCATTTTTTTGTCATTTATATATATATATATTTTTTAATTTACTGCTTTTCTACTGAAACTATCACCATGTGTAGACTACTTGATTCTTCTGGTTCTGTGAGAGTTCTTTTTCCAGCTTTTTCCAGCCCCGGTTTATTTAAAAGTCTTTGTCTTCACTTTTGGCAGTGGACCTCATCTGTGAAGCTCTGAACTTGTCTATTATTCAGATGATCAACATGCATCTTTTTCATGGATGTCTTCATCACATATCATTCTCCCTTCCCCCTTTCCCTGTGTAGAGAAGTGTTCACTCTCTGAGTGCCCACTATGAGCATCAGTCTCTCAGACCCCCATCCACTAGACCCCTAGCTAGCTGCTGAAAGGACGTTCAGTAGGAGCAAATGCAGTATTGGCTCTTTTCTTTTCCTTTAATCCTCAATTAGTCTTTCTTATGCTGACACAATGTCACCTTTGATCCAATCTGTTTTAGAACCATTATTCATCCAGCAACTTGTTGGTGGTGTATGTTCTTAAGTGAACTACTTTATTGTGTGCTACCAAAATGATGCTCAGTTATGTTACCTCCTGTTCATCTTTGTAAAATTGCAAAATTTTAAACATAGAACAAAAACAGCACTGTCCAATACTGTTGGAGGACACCCTATAAATATCTAAGCTGTGCAAAATGTAAATAAAAACAAAATGCATTGATGTGCAAATCATTTAAACCCTGTATTTATTTGAAAATGGAACAAAGACAACATATTAAATGTTGGAACTGAGAAATGTTATTGTTTTTTGAAAAATATATGCCCATTTTGAATTGGGATGGGGCAACAAAAGGCTGGTAAAGTTGTGTAATGCTAAAAAACACCTGGTTGGCAACAGGTCAGTAACATGCTTCGATATAAAAAAGAGCAAGAGTCTTTCAGAAATAAAGATGAGGAGGGACTCACCACTGTGAAAGACTGCACAACCAAATAGTGCAACAATTCAGGAATAACGTTTCTTAACATAAAATAGCAAAGAACTTTTGCTTTTTCTCATTTATGGTACATAATAACATTAAAAGATTCAGAGAATCTGGAGAAATCTTCATATGCAAGGGACAAGGACAAAAAACAGTATTTGCTTGCAATGATCTTTGGGCCCTCCAGCAGCACTGCATTAAAAACATATGCGATTCTGTAGTGGAAATCACTGAATGGGCTCAGAAACACTTCTGAAAACCACTGTCTGTGAAAACAGTTCAACGCTGCATCCACAAATGCAAGTTAAAACTCTAACACGCAAAGAAGAAACCGTACATAAACAGGATCCAGAAATGGGCCCAAGCTCATTTAAAATGGACTGAGTAGAAGTGGAAAAGTGTCCTGTGGTCCGACAAAATATGAAATTCTTTTTGGAAATCATGGACACTGTGTCCTCCAGGCTAAAGACCACTCGGCTTGGTACCAGTGCACAGTTCAAAAGCCAGTATTCATGATGGTATAGGGGTGCATTAGTGTACATGGCATGGGTGACGTGCACATCTGTGAAGGCACCATTAATGCTGAATGATATATACGTGTTTGGCAACATATGCTGCCATCCAGACGACGTCTTTTTCAGCTAAGACCTTGATTATTTCAGCAAGACAGTGTCAAACCACATCCATGCATGTGTTACAACAGTATGGCTCTGTATTAAAAGAGTCTGGGTGCTAAACTGGCCTGCCTGCAGTCCAGACCTGTCACCACTGAACATTTGGTGCATTATGAAATTAAATATACGACAAAGGAGACACCGAAAGTGAAACATTTCACTTTCAAAACTACAGCAGTTGGTTTCCTTATTTCCCAAATGAGTGTTGCTAAAAGAAGAGGTGATGAAACACAGTGGTAAACATGCCCCGTCCCAACTTTTTTGAAACATGTTGATGTCATCAAATTCAAAATGGTATTTTTCAAAAAACAATAAACTTTCTCAGTTTCAACATTTGATATGTTGTCCTTGTAATATTTTCCTTTAGAAATATGGTTTACATGATTTGCATGTCATTGCATTCTGTTTTTGTTTGCATTCTGCACAGCGTCCCAACTTTTTTGGAAATTGGGTTGTAATTGGACATAAATTTAGTAGCATATAAATGTGGTATTATAACATTTTTAGAGAATTTAGCTTTAAAAAGCCTTCGCAGTTTTAATCAATTGGGCTGTCTGTGAAAAAAGCTCATTTGATGAATAAAGGCCTTCATCAAGTTGAATTTTAGATTTGCTTATGCTATTATGTGAAGAAATCAGGTACTTTGTGATATGATGAATGCTTACAGTGATGAGGAAA